CATATATAGCTGAAAATGATAGAAATAAGAAAAATTAGATAGGAGCAACAACCCTAATTTTGACTAATGTTATTCTCGAAAAATATTGATTGATGTTCTGCTCCTATAGAAGTCAAAGGTTGAGGCTCTTCGAAGGGAAAACACTGTTAAATTCACTTAACATAAATTGGGCCTCCATTCTCACCAACTTCACTTCGGTTTCACATGAAAATAAAATGTTCTATAAGTATATTTTTCTTTAGGACTTGGAACCTATTACTTCATTCTCATCAACTTGGAAATCCTATGGCGTGTTTCAGGTGGCACTTGCATCTGGACAAGGTAAGTTTATAGAGATAGTGAGAAACGCTCAGCTGCAGATCAATCTGCCTAATGTCAAGTGTGTGGACGCCAAGGGGCTTCCTCTTGAACAAGATAACGTTCACCTTACTACAGCGTCTGAGGTTCAGTTGGGTCTGAAATTGGCTCAGGCCTTTTTGGAATCTTCTTAGCCATCTACTCTGATTAAGTGAGATGCTAAATTCTGCATCCACCAATAAAGAAAGTTGGTAGACATATGTAAGTTATTTAGGGACGAGTTTATAAAGAATAAAAAGTTTTGATGCATGTTTAGGGTACTACTAGTACTAGTATAGAACTCATCGGTGATATCTTGGCAGTTGGGACCCTCCATACGAGGTTATTGACTGGAAAAACGAAATACTCCATGCCAATTAAAAACACCAACATGGGTAGGTAATGGATATTGACATCTTAATTTTCAAATAAATGGCTGCAATGCTATTTTTACTTCTTTTTAGCTTTCTTCCGTTATGTTTAATAAAGTAATGATTTATAAAACTAAATTTTAAGGTGAAAATTTTTTCATCCATTGATAATGTGGATCCCTCATATAATGGATGGCCACAAAAAATTTATCCCAAATTTTCATCCATCATATCATTTTACTCCTTTTCAATATTTTTAGTAAGGAACGTAATTAGTCAAAGAAAATACAAAGGCCCAATTTAGGACGGAAGTTTTTGACGAGAAAGCCACCTATTGTTTCTAAGTTTGAACGTGAAAGAATTTTCAGATTTTATAGTTGTTATCTTCTTGTAGGGTAAAAAATATATCTTTAAATTTATTTGACAACATAATAATAATATTATCTAATTTAAATAAAAATTAATATCGAACCATACAGAATTAGAATCCCCTCACTCATGGCACCTTGAATGTTAGCCTTTGGAAGGTTGTCGAGCACTTTTGCCTGTCCAATGGGCTGTGGCTGCAA